GGACTCTTTGTCTGGTAAGAAGTGACAGGACAAGGCCTATGAGTTTAAAATAAAGGAGAGGAGATACTGATCGGGTGTTTGGATGAACTTGTTTCCTCTGGGGGTGGCGAGGCACTGGAGCAGGCTGCCCAGGGGAGCTGTGGATGCCCCATCCCTGGCAGCGCTTAAAGCTGGGCTGGACGGGGAGAGGAGCAGCCAGGCCCAGTGGGAGGTGTCCCTGCCCGTGGCAGGATGGTTGGAACGAGATGATCTCTGAGGTGCTTTCCAACCCAAAGCACTCTCTGAATCTATGAAGAGAATTCCAACCAGCCCCAGCCTCTGTGCGCCCACTGGGGTATTGTGGTGTTGACGTTGGTGTTTCCCAGCAGTCACCTGGCCTGGGCCTGGTCTTCCCAAAGCCCTGGCAGGTGCCCTGGTACCTCCCTTTCACGTATCCAGCCTCCTGCTGAGATAAACAGCTTGTCCCTATTTACATTTAGCCTCATCCACCCCAACTTGGCTACGGTGATTCCGATTTGTTTTTTCAGTCTCCATTCTGATCCCCGTCCTGCAGCTCCTCACTGGGAGCAGAGGGCAGTGCTGAGCTGTGCTCTGTGGGTGCAGTGACAGGGCCTGAGGGAACTGTATGGAGCTGCATTAGTGGGTGGTTGGGTGGGAGTCCGGGGAGGGTTCTGCACCAGGGGGTGGCAGACGTAGACCCAGCTGCACAGGGCAGTGGGCGCAGCTCCATGCTGCCATAGCTCAGGAAGCATTTGCACAGTGCTCTCAGTCATAATGCCTGGTTTTTGGATGCTCCTGGGTGGAGCTGGGAGTTGCACACATTGATGCTTGTGGGTTCCTTCAAGCTCAGGGTATCCTATAAGTCTCCACCTGCCAATTTTAAAAGATCATTGGACTGTGCACTTTGAGAAACATCCCAACAATTAAGTCATCCCTTCTCTGCTGCTAGCAGGAGTGCTATCTTCTAAGTGCGCTTTGAATTTTCCAGCAGATTTTACTTTGTCTTGCATCTGGCAGATAGATACTTATTATATGCTAACGTAAAAGACAGTCTGACTCCGTTCAGTTTATTTCCTTTTTATCTAACAGTACTGTTAGAGAGACAGAAGACTGTCTCTCTGTTGCTGCTATGATCAGAGGAAATGAAAAAACACAGGAGACAGTCTCGCAGTGCTATAGGAACAGCACTGAGGTGTTCTATTTTTCTTCATTGGTTAGCAGGAGCACGGATATCTTCCACAAATTGCACTTGTTCCAGATATTCCACACCTACAGGCTTTCATTGCGTGCTACCTTAAGGGGAAAGAAGCTGCAGCAGCACTCACTGGGAGGAGTTTGTGAGAGCAGCTAATGCAATGGCTTTGTGACTTGAAGAGAAGCCAAGCACTGTCTATGGATTCGAACTGTTTGACAGTTGAAGATTATTTTTCATTTGCATTCTAATTAGTATTGCTGGTTACCAGTAAAGGTGAGATTTATCAAAATGTTTGCTGTGGAAAGAGGTTTAAAAGTGGAAAACTTACTAATATTGATACTACAAAAGCTAATCTAATTTCAGCTACTGATCTAATACTGAAAAACTGCTTTAGTAATACTTGAGCATACTTACAGCAAAGGGAGTGATTGATTATATTATTGATTTTGTTGTTTGCAGATCCTAGTTAACTAATTAGAATATCTGTGGTATGTGTACATAGTGTGCATATAGTCACAGGATCTCCTGAGTTTGGGAAGTTTGAAATATTCCAATGTGCATGTGAGACAAAGATGTGGTGCCTTGTATAGGCATCGTGTGGATTTGTAAAGTTTGATGTGAAAAGAACCTTGCAGTATTGGCATGGAAAGAACTTTTAGGAATGGGTGGACTTCAGATCTGATGAAGGGAAAAAGCAGGTAGACATATTGAAGTCTGGTATTCTTTCAACAGAAGATTGCCATTTCCTAAACTGGAAGTAATTTAATCATGTCTGCATCTGGAGTAGCTAAATGAAATCACTTGGTGTAATTACTTCATGTCTAGCAAGGCCTGTGGCCATTTGGATTGTGTATTGTGATTCAGATCCTAAAATGAAAGGAGTTTAACCACTGGATGTCCAAAAAGTAATCTATGCATTTTATTTTTAAGATATGAATAGAGACTGTGTTTCAGATGTCTGAAAAAAAACTCCTGTCAAGCTGAATCTTTGCTTGTGATCCTGTTGTCTGCTAAGAGCGCATGTGACAAAGATCAGCTTTAACCTTCTCATATGACTGCATTGCTGCATGTTCCTGCTGATACAGAACCATTTAAGTATTTTAACAATTATTTTTGATGTTCCATTTGAGCTAGAGGGCAAAACTGTTCTGTAATTAAGGGGCTACTTCCAAGAAAGGAAGTAGCATCAAAACTGTTATGACAGGATTGTTGCGGAAGAGCTGAATGCTGTGGTCAGTGTGCTCATGCTGCATGAAGGAGTGTAATCCATGACCAGATTCTTGCTGGGGAAAATCTGCTGAAGCAAAGCAGAGGTTTTGTGCAAATAACTTTAGGTTTGTTAGTTGTCAGAAACTACAAGGGAAGGGGCTGCTGCTGGAGTGAGTGACAGCCATAGCTGCATGGAGAACATTGGCATCTTCAGGGGCAAGTATTGCTTATCAGTAGGGTAACACGTTTGTTGTGTAGCCACGGAGATGGATAAAGTTGATTTAAATGCTTCAGGCTCGCTTAAGTGGTGTTACACAGAAGGAGAACTTTGTGATAGGCTGTGTTTAGTGGTGGATTGTAACTGTATGTTTATTTGAAAAGAATAAAAATGTATATCCAAGTGATGGAAAGTAATTGCTGTTTGGGGTGTTAGTGTTAGTACTAGTCTACTTACCTTCATCTGGTAAGTACGGGTAACAAATACGGTATCTGAAGGCAGCACCAAGATGCACATCTTGATAATGAGTTTTCTACAACTTTGACTTTTCTGTGGCTTTTTTCTTCTGGAAAATGTCATAGGAATAATTTATTTAAAAGAAGAATTTTGATCTATTACTAAAATAACTGGCACAATACCAGGCTTGATTTTGGCAATTAGGCTGTAGAGCCAAATCTTCCCACCTGTTACATGATAACACGTTCTCTTAAATTGTCTGATTTCCTTTTAAAAGATGGATTCTGTCCGTAGCCATTCGTTTGATTGCCTTACTTACAATTTTATAAAGTAGAATTTCAGTGAATTTGGATGCGTTTCCACCTCTACTCCCCTAAATAATCCCAGCTAGAAAAAAAAAAAAAAACAACTTGAAATAAATAACTTGTTTTTCTTAATCAAGTTTATTCAGTTCTTTGCCATGAGGTATATTTGCAAAGGCTGAAAGCTTGTGCATTTTGCTCTATTTCAGTGCCTGATGACCTCTCCATAGAAGAAAGAGAAGAACTTCTAAATATTCGTCGTAGGAAAAAAGAACTGATTGATGATATTGAGGTAACTGCTTTATCTATAGAATTCCTTAGGAGACTGCTGCAGCAGATTAAATTACAGTAAACCACAACTTTTCACTCTCTCTAGGTGTGAGCCATATGTTTTTTAAAGTATGTAAATGGCTGAAACTAAATCTTGTTAATTATCAAGCAGGTTTACAATTCATTTATGTGCTTTTAAAAATGCTAACTTCTGGATTTATGCAGTGCTTTATGTGCATGTGTACGTAATTGCTTTGTGCAGTCAGGGACTCAAGAAGCAGTAGGTTTGTATCCAGGATAGGAGTGAGAGAAAAATGTGGGTAAATAAATGTGTTGAAGTTGGTACTGACAGTTTGGTCTTGATGTTCTGTTGGGAGCACACACGTGGAGTTGAGATTCATGTGTGTAACTGCCAGTTGTGAGATTTATCACTTTTCTTCAGATGCTTAGTAAATATTTATGAAAATAAGACATAACTGATCATACTAGCACATGATAGATAATTTCAAAATGAGTTTTAATGTAGATTAACAATTTACTTTCTTCTTTTGACAGAGATTAAAATTTGAAATAGCTGAGGTTATGACAGAAATTGATAATCTGACTAGTGTGGAAGAAAGGTAAGTCATGCCAGTGTACAGACATGATTCATTAATACCTTGAAACAGCTATTCCAGGAACAGAAAATAAAAGTGGGTGTTATGCTAAATAAACCTTTGATCACCTTTGCTCTGTCTGTTACAAAGAGCCATAAGTTTGACTCCATCCCATTCAGGCTTGTCATTTGTTCGGGTGGAGAATAGGTTGAACAGAATGCAGTATTTGAAACTGTCCAACTAATAATGAACAGTTCACTGAAGTTGCAATCATTTGAAATAACAGTAAATAGTAACCTGCTTTTCCCCCTTACACAAAGTGAATGTCCCAGTTTTGTTGTGAGAGAAAATTTGAAGTAGTCAAAATGCAAATTAAAATAAACTCATCCAGAAATTGTTCTGTTGTATAAGAATAATTGAAAATTGCTTTTTTTTTTTTTTCCCCTCCTTTTCCACATATAGCAAAACTACACAGAGAAATAAGCAAATAGCCATGGGAAGGAAGAAATTCAACATGGACCCCAAGAAGGTAGAGTTATTACCATTGTATTGTTTGCCTGGAATCAGGCTTCTGCTTCTAAAATGATCTATGGCAAATACAGTCTGTTTTCTTACAGCATTTCAAACATTTCAGATTATATAAATTGTCAACCCTTATTTGTATATCCTTTTAACACGTGAAGCAGGAGGTGAATCTACAGTCATTTAGTCATTTGCCAACCATGTGTGCTTTTTTCACTTAAGAAAACATGTTTATATATATATGTGTGTGTGTGTGTATATATATATAAAAAGCAAAAGATACTTATAAACAATAAAATATGCCAGGTGTTGATTGCAGTGGCTTTCAGGGAAATTATTTACACCTGATAGAGTATGTTCTATGTTGACATGTCAAACAGTTCTAAAAGTACTTAGATATTTGGCTACTAGTGAAGTATTTTATATATATCTACATAAATGCCCTGTGATTCTTCCAAAATGCTTTTAACTTGCTTCTCAGTTATTCTCATATGGGCTCTTATATTTGCATATCTAAATTCTGTTTGTGAAAAAGTCACATGAGAACATTTATACCTCTGTACACTTATGTAACACAGATACCCACCTATGTTGCTTGAACAAACACCAGCAGGCAGAATGTCTTTATTTGTGAAGAATCTTCTTTAATATCTTTCCTGAAAGCATTTAAGCTTTGTTCTTCTTTCAAATTGTACTGAAGTCAGTTACGATTTGATGGCTTTTCTGTAATGTTCAAAAGCAGCAATGGCTGCTGTTCTTCTGGCTGCTTTCAGTTTATTAAAAACACTCAAGCATTTTGTGATATAACGCCCTTCTGAAGCTGGTGCCCGTGTCTGCTATTCTTCTTTTCCTTTCTGATGTCTGTGTAACTTCAGCTCTGTTGAAGAATATCCCTGATACTCCAACTGTTATTTTCCTTCATCTCTTTTGCCTCCTAGAATTTTGTGGAAAAATCACACAATGATGCAAGCTGCCTTTGTTCCAGTATTAACTATTTTTGCTACTGTTTTTATGGGATAAAGTTATTTCTGTAAATAGATGCTGTGGCCACATTACTACTGTAACATAATATAAATGTGGTAAATGGATTTTGAGTACTAATTCCTTAAAAATGTCTGTAAATCAGTGGTGGCCTGCAGTAGCTGGATGCTCCAAAGCTGGATTGCTCCAAAGCTGGAGCTGCAACTTTAAATTGTACGCAGCTGAAATGTATGTTGTTTTAATGCTGAATGAGAGAATGAACTTCTGGTCATTGTGACAGCAATGCTTTTCCTTCATAGCAAAGAGGAGGTGGTCTCCGTGGTGGGGAATGTGAAAGAAGCAGGGTAACAATACATTCACTGAATCTTTAAAGCTTTCTTTCCCTTAAAAATCCAATAATGTAGATGTAGTGTTTTCATATTAGCAGGAACACATTGAGCTGATTTCTTTAACCATTTTTATTTGAAGAGTTTTATGTTTTCTAACAGGGTAACCCAAATGTAGAGTGATTGTCCCCTGACCTGAAAATCATTGCTGAAAATAGCTGTGTTGAATGCAGTTAGGTTACATCAGGTAGAGGGCTGTAATGGTCAAGTTTGGGAAAAACGAAACCAACCAACAAACAGGAAAACAAAACAAGAAGCACTTCAGAAATCCCAGTGCAGGGGACATGAAGCTGTGCTTTGCATTCCTAGCAGTGGGTGTCACTGCTGTCCGCGGTGGGCTCAGGAAATGGATTCTCTGTGACAAAAACAGAATCTAAAGAAGTGCAGAATTTATCAGCAAGTTGCTCTAAAAAATGAAAATCAGAGATTTAATTGCACAGGCTTTTAAAAAACAAACCTAAAAATTATACAGCATTTGCTATTGAATAACGAATTGTTGTGTGATGGTGACGTTGTGTGTGGAGGTCAAACTCGTACAGCTGCCTTCTGTCTTATATCAGCCTTCATAAAGAGGAGTTACATCGAGACAAAAGATAGTGGAGGAGTTGATGAGTGTTTGGCTGACCTATTTTACAGTGTGTTCCAGACACGAGAGTTGTCCCAGACATTCCTTTCCTGTCTATCTGATTTCTGCTGCTTTAAAGATCTGAAGAATTAAAAAAAAACAACAAACAACAAACAAAAAACGCCCTCAAACCCACTGATTTTTGCAGCATGCTCAGATTCCTGTTTCTGTGCAGAGAATTTGTTTTCCACATTTCCAGTCATTTCCATTTTTCAGTAACCTGTACAACTTGTACAAACTCTATGGGCAGTCTGTTTGCATTAAACATGAATAGTGCAGTCTGGCTGTTGAGCAAGGCAACCTGCAGCTGCAGTTTCTGATGTTTGTTGGAAGGAGGGTTCATTCTTGGTTGGCAGATCTGAGAAACTTTTTGTATAACTTGGTATGGAGAAAAAAAGCAGTATGTTTCATAGGTGAATATTTTGCACAAATGTTATCAAATATGCTTGAGATGATCTGTTGTGAGGAAATCTCAGCTATTACTGCTTCAAAATAAAAATGATGTTTTCTTTGCAATGAAATCACATCTGTTCTGAAATGACTTATAAAAGCATTAAGTTGTCAGACTACCAGCATGTGACCAAACTAAGTTTCAGATGATGAAATTATTAGGAGAGAGCTGCATTTAGGACTTTGGTTTTGTATAATAAATTATCTGCCTGACCAAAAAAAAGAAAGAAAGAAAATTAATGACCTTATTTATCACAGAAAATGAAGTATTGAAGCTTAAAATAAATTTTATATATCTGAGCTGTCCGTGATCTACGGAGTGGTGGAATGACATCATTTCCAGCCCTTATGTAAACTTCAGATAACCCATAGACTCCTTTATTTCCTGTTGCAAAAAGCTCTCTGGGCATCCCAGAGTGGGCAAGTTCTGAGGCCAGTAATTTAGAGAAGTGTAGGAATCCAGGGGCTTGATCAGGTGTGCACTGAGGTTGGGGTAAGGCTCCTCCTGGCTCTGTAGTAGAGGCCCGAGTGGTTTCATGGACAGCCCTTTGTGAGTACTTCAATTCAGGCACCATTTGCAGTCAGCCAATTCCCAGTGTCAGCGTAAAGTCTTTGAACTGTTTTCAGTATCTTCAGCCCTAACTTCTCCTGCAAGTAGTGGCTTGATGTACTGGGGCGCAGTTTGCAAATGCTTTATTTTTTGTCGTGGTGGTGATTAAGTCATTCCTGCATACCTCTGTTATATGATTTTACAGATTATCTTCAGACATTTATGCAGTGCGCTGAGCAGGCCAACTTACATTAACCTGTTAAGACAACACTTGATATTTCTGTAGTTAGGGAATTCAAACTGCCACCTGGTACTTCTTGCCTTAAAAATGTGTCCCCATTTATATCTGCCAACCAGTACAAAATACTGCTTATCTGACTAGGAAAGAAAAAATCATTTGTTTACTATTTCATGTAAAATAGATAAATGAAAACAACTACAGACCAACTTAACTCTTACATGCTGTGTGTGTGTCTGTGACACTATATAGATGCCAAATGTCATGAGCAGTATTTACATAAATGCTGTGGAAGAAAACATAATATCCCTTCTCCTCTAAAATTGCTTTTCCTAGGGAATACAGTTTCTGATAGAAAACGACCTCTTGCAGAACACTGCAGAAGACATTGCACAGTTCCTTTACAAAGGGGAAGGATTAAATAAAACGGTAATCGGCGATTACCTCGGTGAAAGGTAAGATAACAATACTGAAACTTCATCTTGTTCACAAAGCATACTTAGCAACTGTAGTAGTTACCTTCCCCTTCAGAGGCTGCATGAAAAGCTTCTCCTCACAGATGTAGAAAAGCTACAGAGGGAAGTAATACTAACCTATTAGATGTTTTTTTTCTCTGATTAGTTGTTGTTCTTTTTAAAGGGATCCATTGTTGAATAATATTTAATTCATCATAACTTACCATTTTGAGAAAATATCCTTAAATTTGGCATTAGAGCAGAATTTAATACCATAAGCTTTTGGAATGGTGGAGAGTTGTATTACAACAGTTTTAGTAATTCTTGACACCGTCCCTAGACAAGGTGTGGCTTACAACTGATAATAATTGATAGGAAAGAAATTACTTATTTGAGTTGATCACTCCTGGGACAGAAATTGTAAGCAGGTTTTAGTGTCATCTCTGTACACAGATACACAGACTTCCCCTTAGTAAGGAGCCATCTCTCAGAGCAGCTGCATCACTTCTAGCATAATAAATGTGCAAAATGCAATAAAATGCAAATTGCTTCCATTGAGGTGCAACCCAGGAATGGATTTTGGGAAAGGGAGTAGCAAGAGATAGAAGTAGCAGGTAGGTTGGAGTACGTGCATCTGCGTGCTTGAACGTGTTGTGGTTCTAATGCCAGTCGGGGAGGTTTAAAAGCTGACTCATTTAGGATCTGCTGCTGTAGTGATGTGTTCATGCAGATCCCTGTGAGACATCTGTAATCTCTTTACAGCATCAGCAGCTTAGTTTGTGCACTATTTCCTCCTGACATCAACAAGCTTAATGAAAGTTTTCACTGTTGTGCATCTATTTTGAAAATGTTTTCTGTGCAGTTTCTGGACCATGTCTGTAGACATTGCAACAATTTCAATAAGAAAGCATCAGGATGTTGAATATTTGGGTAGTGTTGTACACTTACTTGTATGCTAATATCTACTAAATTGTAACAAAGCTTGCATAAAGCAGTCTGTATGCATTTTTTCAGAATTATGCTCTACTTCCTGAAAGACTTCTAGTAGTCTACTCCCAAGCCTAGAATCTGTGTGCTCATGCAGAAAGATCTCACCAATATGACCAGTCCCATTGGCATACTGTAGAATGGTCACATCACTGCTTGCATATAAAAGTCAAAGATGTATTATTATTTCAGGACCATCTTCTGGATTTTTCATTATTTAAATATGAGAAATTGTAGTGATTTATACTGAATAGCAAAAAAAAAAATTTTTTTTTTTAATGAATCTGTTAAGTTGGTGCTAAAATCTGAGGAGAATTGTGAAAAGGATCTTTTATTATATTAGATTGCAGTGTTGGAGCTGCACCAACACAAGTATGACTCTTAATCCAATCCACATTAAAACCAAAAAGAGCAAAAATTAGAGTATAAGGCTGATATTTGTGCTGAATTACTGCAGCTTTGAGTACATGTAGGCAAGGTACATGTTTGGCTTAAGATAACAAAGCAGCCCTATTGAGTGCTCTCTGCAGTTGTACATTATATAAATTAATTGCTCTGCAAAGTAGCATGCAGCTCAATTGCACATTACTGAATTTGATGAGAATTGCTCCTTTTTGCTTGACAGAGCTGCTCTGTGGTTCTTTGAACAGTCTGGAAACATCTTAGTAAATGGTTTGCTTTCAAGTATTTGCTTGTGAGTTACAGATTAGCTACAAGCATTTAGTCAGTAACACAACAGATAATTCTTGGTGAATGCACACCTTTCTATTTTTGGGTGGAGGCTGATATGCAACATTCTGCCTTGATTACGTATTTAAAGCACACCCTCAGGATTACAAACCTTTCTGCTTCGGGCAGAATATGAATGCAGTGGTGGTGCATTCTATCTGCATTCAAATCATTTTGTGTCTATCAGCCTTTAAATATAATGTTTGCATTCAAATAACCTGGTATTAAAGCATAGTTGGGCTCATGCTTTGCATAATGATGTCAAAGATAGCTGAGAGCAAGCCAAGTCAAAAGCTTTTAGTAAACTTCCATTATAACAATTTTTGAGAATAGAATAAGAATTTGGTACATACTAAGTACTTCTTTGAAAAAGCTGTTCTTATAAGCAGTTGAAGTACAGCTTATTTGTCCTACGTTGTATGGCTAAAGAAATTAATCCTACCTTAACTGTTGTTTCAAGTGTTCATGACACAGTTGCTGCAAAAGATTATTGTACTAAATAGATTTATCAAATATTTTCCCCTGTGAGGGTAGCTGCTGGAATAACAAATATGAAGCAAAGAAAGACAGGCCACTTTCAGGGCATTTAAAAAAGCAGTGATAAAATCTATTCGAGTGGCTCTTGATAGCTTAGCTTTTAAATGCTAGCAGAAATGGGCAAAACACTAGCAATTAAAATTGAACGTGATAACAATTCCTTTGGTCTGATTTGATCAGTATAATCATCTGATTGTTTGCTTATTCTATAAGAAAAAGATAGAGGTAACTAAAAAGGCTTTGAAGTTCAGCATTGTAATTGTTTATTTTCATTTTTCTCTTTCACAGAGATGAATTTAATATTAAAGTTCTTCAGGCTTTTGTTGAACTCCATGAGTTTGCTGATCTCAATCTTGTACAAGCCTTACGGTGAGTAAATTATTTCTGTTTTTCTTCCTGTATTAAATTGCACATTCATAGGAGTCACTGTGTTGATCTACTTGTCAGAAAGCTGATGTAACACTCAGCATGACTCTGTACCTCACTGGGCAGGTTAGCAGAGGTGGTTCTGTTTTAGCACTTCCAACTGTTTGTAGCTTTTTGGTGTGCTTGCCAAATGTGAACATTTGAAGACCAGTTTTATATCTCAGCACCGAGATGGGTTAAAAACAAAGCCCCAGCCAAACAGATCATTTTCTTTGCTGCCCTCTTCTTCATCCTTTTCTTTCGCTTGTTCCTATGGGTGGGTGGGAGAGTGCTGCAGGCCAGAATTAGTGTTTATGTGCAATTGCACAGAGGTAGACTTTGGTACAAGCAGTTTCTTCCTACTTAATTCATATTTACCCAACTGTCATGTGAAAAAAAAAGTGTAATTTTTTTTTTTCCTTTGGTTTGTAAATTTGATTTCTCTGAGATGGTAGCATGGAGTTACCTTGTAAAGCATACAGTGTTGCTTATGGAAATCCACAATTAATCCAGGAAATTAAGGTGAAATAGACACTTGTGCCAGTCTCATTGCTTCAAGTGACTACCCCTGACAATAGATAAATAGAAATGTTCATGTGATCTTTGTTTCTGGTGCAGCACCTTGTGATGTGGAGTCAGAGCAGCTTTGCTGCGGTTGAGTGATGTGGTGATGTTAGTCTGAGCTGCCTGAGGCGTCAGCTAAGGCTCTGGCTGATGCAGATTATCTGGAAGGCTTCATATCCCTATCTCTTTTACTCAATTTAACTTTAGGCTCAATTTTATTCTACTTTAGCAGCTGCTACTATTAAATGTTTGTATTTTGGTAGCTTACAAAATTCGTGATCTGGGTTGGAACCTTGTACAAGGTGAGTAAAAGACAGTATATAGAGCTAACCAAGCTAAGGATGGCCTGTGGCTCTTTGATATGAAGTCCTAAAATGGAAACTTATGAGAACAAGAGCAAGTGGGTATTATATTGGCACCCACTGTACAGGGAATATGGAATTTTTTTTGCATGGCAGAGCATGTAACTTTGCTGGTCTAGGTCCTGTTTTAGTTTATATGATTGTTTTGCTAAAAAAGAAAAGAAAAGTGATTCAGTTAATTGGAACTTTTCAGTTTCACCATTTGCTGAAAGTGAATTTGTGAAGACTTCTGTCCTGTATGCATTCCAATGTACCTATATATAGAAACAGTAAGTTAGGAAAGTAAAAACACTATTTCAGTTCATGCTGATCTCCTGCATATGTTACAAAATTACTGAGATGATATTGTGAGTCTTTCTTCGTAAGTTCTGGGTCTGATCTTTGTAGGGTGAACTTGCACTTGACAGGCAGCACTTCTCTCCATGCACTGGTGTTTCTCTTGTAGTTGTTTTCATTTTTTAATGTTTGATTAATTCACTTAAAGATAGTAAGTGTTGCTGTACTCCTTCCTTCTCTCCCTGAGCAGAAATATTTTATCTCCTGTTTCTTTCTACATTGTAAGTAAAGTCTAGCTGAGTGCTTATTGCTCTTAGTAGACAGGAATCCTAAGGAGGATTGAACTGTTTTTTTTCCTCTGTAGTATTCTCATGGAAAAATGGGATGCATACAGAAAATAGTTTACTAGTCCTGAAAAAAGAGAGTCTCAGAATATGAACTGCCATATTACCTTGCCTGATAGCATGCAGTGTTGCTGGCTGAATTTCTGGGTTAGCCATCTGTGCATGTTGCTTTATGATAGCTCCTGACTTGTTCGTTGAGAAATTGAGAACGTATTTCTAGGAGATTTTATATACAAATTGCTGTTTTTTTGTTTCTGATTATTAGCAATAGATGCTTAATATATAAATATTGGAATGAGCCTAACAATGATTCTTCTTTTCTGTAGGCAGTTTCTGTGGAGCTTCAGACTCCCAGGAGAGGCTCAGAAAATTGATCGTATGATGGAAGCTTTTGCTTCACGCTACTGCCTTTGTAACCCAGGAGTTTTTCAGTCTACAGGTTAGTTATATATGATGTTAGAATGTTAATGTTCTTCTACATCTGGTGCAAGGAAACAGTGGCTAATTTGAAAGTTCAAAATAAAATAATATGTGGAATAATCATTTCGTGAGAACTGTGAAAATGCTGCTGTCTGATTTTATATTTCACATCTGGAAAGTACAAGCTGATGGTCAGTATTCATTTCCACTTACTAAACTCTACTATTAATATGTAAATTAATTTGAGCATAAGACACACTGTGTGTAGCTGAAATGCTAAATCACAGCCTGAACCAGTGATTGACACCTGGTGAGAAGGCAGGGCCAACCCAAGGGAGCTCAGGTACATGCAGTATACCTGAGGAAGGGTTGGAGCCAGGATCCACCCCTTTCCAGGCCTCATGTAAGGGTTAGCAGTGGAGATGAGGGTATCTTGCTGGAGATCCCTGCCTACCAGAATCCTTCCAAAGGTAAGCAGTTTTTCTTCCTTTGTTTCTGTGTCCACAGCTGCTGCATTTGGGCTTGTTCTCATTTGCTGCAGCCTAAGATTGTTCCACTTTGCCATTACTGCTATACTTTCCATCACATTGTAGTATCACAGCATTACACTGGGTGTTTGAGAACTGAGATTCTACTGTTAGATATCTCACTATCTCCCTAGGCCTAAACAGTCTTGAGCAGTGGGTCCAGGAGAATCTCATGAGATTCAGCAAAGCCAAGTGCAGTGTCTTACACCCGGGTTGTAGCAATCCCCACTATAAGTGCAAGCAGTGGGATGAAAGGATGAGCTCCTGAGGAAAAGGGCTTGTGAGTTCTGGTGGATGGTAAGCTGGGCATGAGCCAGCAATGTGCTCTTACAGCCCAGAAAGCCAATTGTATCCTGGGCTGCATCCAAAGAATCTTGGCCAGCAGGTCAGGGAAGGTGATCTGCCCTTCTGCTCTGCACTGGTGAGACCCCACCTGGAATACTGTGTCCAGATCTGGAGCCCTCACTACAGGAAAGACATTGGAGCACATCCAGGGGAGTGCCACAGAAATGCTCCAAGGGATGGAACACCTCCCTACAAGGACAGACAGAGAGCTAGGGCTGTTCAGCATGCAGAAGAGAAAGACTGCTCTCAGATCTCCCCAGAGCTTTCAATATCTGAAGGGGAGCTACAGGAAAGAAGGGGACAAACTCTTCAGCAGGGTCTGTTGTGACAGCATGAGGGGAAATGGTTTCCAACTGAAAGAGGGGAGATTTAGATTTTGTAGCTATATATTACATGTAAAGTCACCAGCTTTTCCCTTAGGAGGACTGTAGCCTTTCTTTTTGTCAATCTGCTTATCGAAGACTTATCTTAGTTAGAAATGCAGCTCAGTTTTCTATTGAATTACATGCTTTAGAAATACTTAGGCCCTAAGAAGCTAACAAAGCTCTCCCATCCTGCACAGAATGGCATAGTATCTTAGCACTGTTGGTCTGTTTAGTTATATGCATGCATAGCTTCCTTCTGATCACCTGATTTGAGGGTAAGAACGTAGGGAAAGAAAAGGTTAATGTGAAGAAGGTCAGCAGCAGCTACAGGGGGAAATCCTTACTGAAAACAAAATACAGAAGATGCAAACACATCTTTTAACGTAGCATAGAGGTTTCCATCCTTTTCTTATGCGTGATCTTGTTTGAATTCTGGGAGAGCTTTCTACAGTCAAAACCACATCAAGAAGCATGATAAGATCTCTTCTGTTATCCTTTGGTATTGGCACCTTTGTATGCCAAGAAATTGAGTCAAATGTTATTTTCTGTTTTACTTACGTGCAGTTCAAGTATTATTTTGAAGAGACTGTTCTTCCTCTGGGTGTCTGCGATAAAACCTTGGAGGCACTTTGAATTGGTGTCTGATGGGCCAACTCTGTATAGCATCAACTGTAAACATAGAAAAGTAAACCGTGTTTCAAATCTGATTTCAGATACATGCTATGTGCTGTCGTTTGCGATCATCATGTTAAATACCAGTCTACACAACCACAATGTAAGAGATAAACCAACAGTAGAGAGGTTTATTTCTATGAACCGTGGAATTAATGAAGGTGGAGACCTTCCAGAAGAATTACTACGGGTAAGTGAAAATGGTGAAGGTAAGGGGTTGCTTTTCATTTTTCAATAGGAAACTTAAAAAGATATGTAACAGTTTCCAGACTGATTTCTCAAGGGAAATAAAAAAACATTTTCTGCCATGCATAACCATTTGAGAAACTGAAAGAAGCTTTCATTGATGTTTATGGTCTCTTTCAGTCTCTAACCTTTATCTTATGTTGAGAAGAGATTCCAGAGGAAGTCCTCTGTATATCTCTCAGTAGTATCCTTTGTGACAATGTTCTTATGGAATTGGCTTCTTATGGAAAGAATTCTATTTCTAGATAAGTCAGAGAAAGTAGGAAAAATAGTTAAATAATAATGAAAAAATGACTCTCTTGTTACTGCTTTTCTATTCTTTCCACGTATCATGTGGAGCCTCCTCCTCCCCCTGAGCTAACAGTAAAGGTGTTTACTTCTCTGATACAGTGTGATGGTCTGAAATATTTTCTAAAAACCCAGATTTGTTTGGCAACAGTTGTGCTAAATTAGAACGATTTGAGAAGCTGAAACTTCTGAAATACTGAATTCTGAAATAAAAATGTTTTTGTTGGGGAGTACTAATAATATCTGGAGAGAGAGTTTATAGAGAAAGTGATTTGAAAACAAACTTATTCAGAGTAGCAAACAACAATTGGGAATGGATGGTCCAGAATTTTTTTGCAGTGTTTCCTTTGCTTTTGTACAAATAAACTGAGAAGCAGTAGGACGTTCTGGGTGTATTTTCTGATGGACGTTACTAACGAGGTCTTGTTTCTCTTTTTTTATTCTTCTAGAATTTATATGAAAGTATTAAGAATGAGCCATTTAAAATTCCAGAGGATGATGGAAACGATCTAACACACACATTTTTTAATCCAGATAGAGAAGGTTGGCTGCTGAAATTAGGTGAGTTACAAGAGCAGTCTTGCTGCTGTGTCTGTTCGTTGTTAGTGTGTCTGCTCCTTCTGTGTCTGCTTCCTTATAAATGTCATACGGTTCACGCTGTAATTTACATTTAAACTGTATAAGCCAAAATAAGTAACTCCTTTACAACTGAAGGTTGTTACTCCTTATTTCACATATGCAAACCAGCGATCTTGTTTCAGACTTTGGAGTTTTATTTCTGGTATCTGAGAACTGAAAACTCAGCAACAGAAAGGAAACTCGGAATGGTGTTTGCTGTGTGCCGTGATGGATACATAACAGCTAAACCTCCATGTAGTCACTGCACAAAACTCATGTGAAATTTCAACTTGGTTTTCTGTGTGCAAAAATAGGATTTCTTGTCAAAGAGTTATTTTTGTGTGTCTTTATTTTTCCATATTATTTGTGAGTTTCTCTTGGTTTGGTTTTGGCTATGATTTTTTAATGAGTGGTTTAAATGTGCCTTCTTGTTTTCCTTATGGCCTATGACCTATCACCTTTCTGTTCTGTGACTGGCTGTCTCTGCTTATTCTGCATTAGGAGGTACGTATCTGATTGCTTTCCAGCGCCCTCTTGTTCAGTTGCTCATTCTTTTATTTTCTTCCTCCTCCCTCCTCTGTTGGTTTTTTTTTTTTTTTTTGGTTTGTTTTCTTTTAGTTTTCTTAGTTATTTTTTTCTTAAATTTATTGCAGCATTTTGCTTTTTTCACTCGGTGTCACTAACAGTATCATCAGAGGTATTCTGTCCACAAAGGCTGGCATGAGTGTCTAGCTCATGTGCAAGTGTCTTCTGCAAAGGAAGGTGTTTAAATGTAAAGCAGGAAAATAGAGACGACTTTTTCTGCATTCACTGAAGAATATAACTAGAAGAACAATTTTGACCGAGAGAAAAACATTTTGTACTCTTATAATGAAGATCCAGAGCGATTTTGTTACTTGTACATCAGTACAGTAGAATCTTGGAAAAACTCAATTGCATTGGAACTACACATACATCAAAGCTGTTCTTTTTCCTGCATATTTTCTTCTGTAAACATCCTATTGAGCAAGCCAAATACATTCTTACATTAGTGTGAAGTTTAGGGTCGCTGGAATCTTTGGAGCTTTGCAGTCCCCTGGCACTGCACTGTGTTACGGCCTCATTAAACAAACAAATCCCAGCAGCTTTACTTGTGCTCAGGACTTTTCTCCTCTATAAGGCAGAGTGAAATTTGTTTTTTTCACTTGCTTTTTTTTCCAATGCAATAAATCTCTTTTATACAAAGCCACGAGTGACACAAGCCATTGGAGCCAGTCTTTGGCCACTTGAACTGCTCATTAGAGAAGAGGGCACTTCACACTTGGAGAATGGTGATTGAAGTGTGAAGAGAGATCCACGCTTGGGGTGAGAGGGGGCTGTGTGCTCGTGGAGCTCACTTTGGTGACAGTTGAGCAAAGGAGAGTCGTGGGCCCTCTCTGCTGATGTTTGGAAGCCAGTGGTTGTGCTACTGCTGGAAGGACACATGAGAAACTATTTGTAAATTGTTCACGTGCTCTGCAGTGTCTGGTTTTGGCCTCTGCTATAGATGCTGTAGGGTTCCTCTTTGTTTAACTACAAAAAAGCTGATTCCTTGCTCATTTTGGCGTGCAGTGGCTGTGCTGCTACAGTTTCAAAGATGACTTTGCAGGTTTTCTCCATGTTATAGTATGAGGCAATAGCTATCTCAGCTAAAAAGCTTTTAAGACAAAGTAGAAAAAAACTGCATGTTGTGGAGGTTGGGAATAAACTGTCTCTATATAATGAAAACTGCACATTTCTATCTGTACTACTCGTAAGTTTATGCACACACAGCATAAGCAGGAGTGCTGTGTGTGTAGAGGAGTACCAGACATACACCATGGAAGAAATTGCCAATAAAACACGAATGAGAGACCTACACAAAGAAATAAAAAGGAACAAAGAAACGGAACGAAAAAGAGTGGCTGAGAGCTGCCAGGTATTTCTGGAGAAGTGATCTCTGGCTCTGGCTTTGAGCATGGTGTGATGAGAGGCAGCGCATACAGAAACCCATGTTTATGTATATGGGACTGCAGGCTGCAGCCCGGCCTCGCAGCAGCAGGTTATCTGAATAGGGTGCACACAAATGCACTTTGCTAGGTTACGTGCATTGACCAGAAATAAACAGTGCTGTGTATATATTTTCTTTCTTTGTTTTCTCTCCCCTGAGTTTCCTGCTTGCTGGGAGGTTTAAACAGTGAGGGAATGCTGCCCTGATCCACACTGTCTGCCTTGCTACAGACCATCTGCAGTCCTTTCTGTTGGGAAACAGTTATTCTGAAATTGATGGAGATTGTATTCCAGGCTGTGAGTTTAAGTGCTCCATTGTATTAATATTTGTGTAAGAGTTTTTTTAATATATAAAACTACGATGAAGATGAGCTCTTAAATCCAGAGTCTCTCAAGAACTTATTTTGTATTTTTTACAGTGTCTCTTCCCATTTGGCTCCTTCTGCCTTTCTATTTAATATTGCAGCTCACCGTGTTGATTATTCTCTGGGCAAGAAATAGATGTTGTCAATCTTTCATATGTCGTACAGTTTGCTTCTCCTAAAGACTTTCCTAGCTCTGTAGCCTGGCATTGTGCTTTAGAAAGCCATGTTTCAAAAATGCTTGCTTTTGTGAAGCTTCCTGCTCTGAATTCAGTTCAGCTGTGGCTCGGTGCAAGACCAAGCACCAAACTGGGCTGCTGGGCAGCACCTCTGGTTTTAGCTAGCTAGACTCAGCCAGTTGCTTTTCTGTCGGTGGTTTTAATAAGCCTATGTTGTGAACTACTGGAGAGAGCCCTGTGGAGGGCCACAGAGATGATGAGAGTCCTGGAACATCTCCTTTATAAGGAAAGGCTGAGACACCTGGGGCTGTTCAGCTTGGAGAAGACCAACAGGGGATCTTAACGACACGTCTGGAGGATGGGAGTCACATGGATGGGGACAGATTCTTTTTGGTAGTGCCAGGAACAGGACAGGGGACAAAAGGGAGGGCATTTCCATGTCTGAAATGGCTTCAGCTGGCAAGCAGCTTGGTGTGTGTGATTTCCTCTAGGGAAAGGAAAGCTGTGACGTTGCTCTTCTGAACAGGACAGGAAGTGACTCCAGCCTGACACAAGATGTGAACATTAGCTGCCCATCAGGCAGCCACCAAGAGGTGGTTGCTCATCCTGGTGCCTCACTGCCTGCTGTGCCCGTGGTGTTTGTTGCAGTGCTTCTGTCCTTGGGAGGATGGCTCTGCTTTTCTCAAATCCGGCAGGGGAGCAGCAGTCAGGAAGCTGAGAGCCTTCCTGAGTGTGGGTTTTATTTCTGGTACCTTGCTGTGCTGTTCATATGTCACCCAGAGCTGGAAAAAAAATATTCCTGTGTTGGGTTATGTAAGTAAAGAAGATCTGTGTCCCTCTTTGTCTGCGTTTGGCCTTGTTGTGGCCTTTACCTGTAGTTCCCTTAGAATTCCGCCAACAAGAAAATATGCTGCTTTATTTTATTTAAGATGTTTTTGCATTTTAATTTATCAACTGGATCTTTGAGAAGTACATCCTCTGCATCTGCCCATTTCTGTAAAACTGTATGGATTCATACGCTGATTTGCTTGGTCCACTTCGGATAAATGAGGCCTTTTTAGCTTTAATCTTTAAGAGGCTGGCAGCTGGAATAAGACAGGAGCGCAGTACTGAGCCCTGTGGTGGTGTTTGTTTAAGCCTGCAGCAATCTTGGCCAAGAAAGATGACATTTTGTTATCAGTAGTTCTTACACATTAATCTTGTGCGCTGTGTTTATGGTCAGTACAGCCTTATCAGCCAGCTTCCTGCTCTTAGCCCACAGTAAAGGCATATTAAATGCATGCTGTACGGGGATGCCTTTCAAGTTTATTCAGGAGTTTCTGTGCTGCTGGACAGCTGCAACTAAGCATGGGGGTGGGGATACAGGCTTATATTTGAGAACGGTTGCTCATTTTGGAAGAAAAAAGTTCTGTGTTGATGCCTTTTTTCTGGAAGAGTAATTCATTACTTGGTGGAAAAGGCACCTGTGCTCTTGTTATGGCACTCGGGTGAGCTGCAGAACCTGGCTGCCGGAGGAGAATGGGTGCAGCGACCCTTGGACTGTATGAAAAACGTGGTGGTAGAGTGAAAGGAAGGACTGCCCTGGCAGTCAGCTTGACTTGGCTGCTGCTTTTTCTTCGACCCAGAAGTAATGAGGGTATGGTTTGTTGGCTTTCTGTTCTTAGATTGAATACCTGGTACTACATGAACCAGCTCTCAGTCAAGTGATGGGAATTTCTGTAGTGACTTACGTGCCAGTTTGAGTGTTTCTACAGTGCCTTGTTTAGGGACCTGTCACAGTGGTTGTACTAAAATGCCACCAGTTCTTCCCTCACTGTCTCCAGTTCACTCAACCATCCATTCCGTCACGGCTTTTGCATCTTGCACTATTTTGCCTTCTCTTATTTCACCACACCTGCTTACGGATTAATGTTTTCTCCAGATGTGTGTGTGTGTAGTGGAAGCATAAAATTTGAGTCCTCTGAATGCTGCAGTGTTTGCACTGCGTTATCCTGCAGGTCATAAAACCGACTGAAAGGAAGGACGGCATGCAACAGGACTTGGTCTGCACTGCAAATACTTGTCTATGGACTTAAAATGAGATCCCTAGACCTGTTTTCTAACTTCAGTACAGAAATCCAGATCGTAACAACAAAATTCCAACTATCTGAAGAAGAGCAGATGGATAAAAAATTGTTTCTTAAATTTGTTTATGACTTGAAATAAATTGGGAACCTTGTGTGTATTCACAGAACTATTTTATGCAAGGGTGTTCAGGAGGAAAACCAATTATTTTGAGACAGTTGGAATAATGAGAGTGACTCACTGCTGAATGGATGATGCACAGGTGGTGCCACAATCCTGAAGTCGTTTAACTATGGTGGAACTCGGCCTGTAATTTGTAACATGGGAGTCCTTTATTTACTTGCTCTTCCCTGGAAATGATTCTTGAAAATTTCATTTATGGAATAATGGAGGGGTTCTTAGGTAGCAAACTGCAGAACCAGGGATGAAAGGACTGAGACAGTAATGTGTGTTTCTGAAAGGAGCCAGTCCATGCAGCATGACATCAGCAGGTGTAAGAGTGAGCAGTGCAGCAGCTGCTGCTGATGTGGGGAAATAATGGCATTTCTGGAGGAGCTGTGCCTTCTGTCAGATGCACTCAGTGGCACGTCTCCCCATTAAGAGAACAATAAATTATTGAAAGTGAGTACAAGTAGCACTTTGGTGTAGGATTTCTGCATTTGCTCCTTGTTGCTGGCTCATCAGATCTGTTCTGCTTACAAGCAGCAGTGTTTATAAGCACTTCACACACTTGATGCTAAATACAGAACTAGAGAGGTTCATAATCACGTGTGAAGTCACAAGTGCAAGGAAGGTGGTAAAATGTCCTTAATTTTACTGATGAGACCCTCATCCTTGTGAAAAGACAGGCTGTGACAGGGCTGGCCCTGTGGCTGGAGCCCAGTTCCTGGCTTTGCTGCTTTCCCACTGCATTTCTGAGGGCTGTACAGCAGTAATATCAGGGCTCTGCTGAGCTCTTCGATTTGGGTGAAACCTGAGAGTTTACAGCCTTACACCATAATGCTTTTGTGCACCATAGTTAATGCTGACTCAGGAGTTGGATCTTTGTACAATAGTTACAGAAGTATGTTTCTAACCTTAGCTCATCTGTGCCTGATCCATTTGCAATTAACTGATTAAAATACATATTGGAAAAACAAACAAAACTAAATTGCTTTCTTCTTATTCCTTGCTGAAGCCTTGACAATGATGTGTTTAACTTATCAATACCTTTTGGTTATAGGGGGAAGAGTAAAAACATGGAAACGAAGGTGGTTCATTTTGACTGATAACTGCCTGTATTACTTTGAATACACAACTGTGAGTATATACTGCTGTGAGCTTCCTTTATAATCTGGGTATGGCAAGGAATAATAATGCAGTATTTTCCTTATCTATCTATATTTATTTATTTTTAGGACAAAGAACCTAGAGGGATTATTCCATTAGAAAATCTTAGCATAAGAGAAGTTGAAGACCCTAGAAAACCAGTAAGATATCCTCATGATCATTTTTTTAATGAATAAGTAAACCATTTGGAACTGAGATCGTAGTAAATGAATTTGTTTCTCGGTTGTTTGTTGCTTTGTTTTTAACATATTTTTCCATTCCTACCCTTCAGAACTGCTTTGAGCTCTATAACCCCAGTCATAAAGGCCAAGTGATTAAAGCCTGTAAAACCGAAGCTGATGGCAGAGTGGTGGAAGGCAACCATGTAGTGTATAGAATATCTGCTCCCACCCCAGAAGAAAAAGAAGAGTGGATTAAGTCTATCAAGTGAGTTTAGAGTTTTAAATATCCTTCAGAAATGAAGTGTAAGCTCCTTTTCTGAATAAGATATGAAGAGAACTTGCATTTTAACTTGTTTAAAGAGTTCTGATTTGGCAATATCCTCTGGGATTAAGGTCAGGATCTTTGGGGTGGATGGGTCAGGCTGTCAGGTCCTAAGGACCATAGCAGGTCCTCACTCAAATGAGGAAAATGTTTGGTTTTTTCTTTCTTTTCTTTTTTTTTTTTTTTAAATTAAATATTTTAAGCAAATGTAAAGCCTTTTGAGAACCATCCTTAACCCTGATTTTATTCTGTTCTTATCCTGTCTGGTGACAGCTATCTTGAGCTTGTTCACAGTGCGGCTCAGAACTTTCATAATATGAATTCATCTTGTAAGGTTTATATAGCAGACCCAAACTTAAAGGAACAAATTATGTTCAAGTTACGTTCAAGATGGAAGTATGAACCCTTTAACAAATTATAGCTTAACATCATCTTTTTATAAACAAACACTTCTCATGGTCAGAGGAACTACAGCTCCTCACTGGGAGCGGAGGGCAGCGCTAAGCTCTGCTCCCTGGGCAGTGACAGGGCTCAGTGAATGGCACGGAGCTGTCAGGGGAGGGTTGGATGGAGGTCAGGGGAAGGTGCTGCACCAGAAGGTGGTGGGCATGGACCAAGGTGTTGTTCACAGCCCCATGCTGCCAGAGCTCACAAAGTGTTTGGACACTGCTCCCAGACATGGGGTTTGGATTTTGGTTCGTCTTGGGTGGAGCTGAGTTGGACTCAGTGGTCCTTGTGGGTCCCTTTCAAAGTGAGCTGTTCTGTGATTGTAGGTCAGCAGTCCGTTATCTTACAATAAGTGTGGAGTCATCCAGAGGGAAGAGAGAACAAAATAGTTTCAGTTTTCAAAAGCAGAGAACTGTTAACCAAACTGAAATTTGTGTTTGTTCTAGAGCAAGCATCAGCAGGGATCCCTTTTACGACATGCTGGCGACAAGGAAACGAAGAATTGCAAACAAGAAATAGGACTTGATCGGTAGCATGTATACCTGCATCCACCTCTACATGGGCTATAATGGACTGATATGTAAACCTTGGGCAAACTAAAGGAAGACAGTAACTGTACATTTATATATATATATATATAAAATTATATATATATAATGTGTGTATGTATATATACATATATGCACACACACTTTACTATGACATAAAATCTCAGTAAGACCCTTCGGAATAGTTATTGGCATATAATTTGAAGTAAGCTTCAAATCCCAGAGGATAATTTTCTTGGAACTTAATTCAACTGATGACATGGAAGCTTTGTTTCCACTTGTGTTACTTAGAACTACAGTTGGCGTGAACTGGGAGGGAAAGAATGGTAAAATATCCTATACCTGTTTCTTGAGCTCAGTGCCCATAAACAGGAAAAGTGTTTTAAGTACTTTTCTCTCAGTTAAATGCAACACTAAAAACTGGAGTAGAGGGCAGCCTAGCACTTTTCTGTAGGCAGGAAACCCACAATCTCAGTAAGTTTTCAAGTTTTATGTGTCTTGCAGTAAATGAAGCTTTCATTTAGAGCAGGTGCTCCACTTTGTAGAAATAGCTTTTCTTCTTTGGAAGTGCAGCTCAGTGTCAGTCAGGCAGCTACATCATTAACCAGTTGTGCCAAAGGGTTGGAGTGAATGCACTGAAACACAGGTCCCAGCAGAAAGGCCTGTCTGCAGCCATGATACTGTGCATAGATGTGGTTTGGTATTTGCCAGAAGGCAAAAACTCTTTCCAGTCTGCTCACACAGTAAGCAGTGAGAGTTAATGACTGGTTTAATCTGCTTTTTATGTAGTAACATCCTTCCCATTTTAGATATATTGTAGTTTAATTAACACTGTTAGTATTAAAGGAATAAGGTGACAGAGCTTGCATGAGTTGCAAGGGTTCAGGCTTTGCATGTGAAAACAGCCTGAAATAATAATTTCACATGCACTTAATGTTTTTAAAAAGGGAGAAAAACCAGGAAAGTGTAACCTTTCTGTAAGATACAGCCCTAGGTAGGTGAGCAAGCAGCACTGATTCATTCCTTTGCTTGATAACATACTTTGAACATACAGAAAATTTAAATATTTTCATTACATTCTTTTTTCAGACTTGTACTTCAGTAGCTGAAGTTGAAAACAGGAGTATATGCCTTTTTTTACTTAAAGAACACAACCTTACTGTCAGTTCCCCACTGCAATCAGCCCCTGCGCAGTTTCCTGTAACTTATGGAAGCTGGTCAGTGGTGGTGCTGAGGCACGTTCTGTCACAACACTTTCTTGTTGGCATAACATTCTTGAGGCGAAGTCCCTCATTGCACAGTGAGGACACGAAGTATTTCTTTGGATCCTACTACTTCTAGCAGTACTTTTATTTTGACTTTCTTGTTGACCCTGAGCCATGTCTGCTGTGCCAATGGATGCCTAGGTGAGCCAGTGTGATGCCAAAGCAGTTTTGCTTCTTGGATACACAACAGGGAATTCTGCTGCACTGTCAAGAAAACACTAAGTTATCTTTTTCAAATCTCATTTTACCTTTAAAGTGCTGATTTGTGGTTGCTGTCTTACAGATTTGCATTGCTTTGTGCAGGGTTTCAGCCTGTGACTTTTGCTTTATTGCATGCTTCAGAGCAAGGCTGAAACAGACTAGGGTCACCTTTCCCCAGAGCATGTGGAATTCCAGGCTGCTTGGATGAATGCTTAGATCTGAGCAAGAAGCAAAACTCAGCCAAAGGAGGTAGAATCCCAATACATAGTAAGTATAACTGCGGGATATCTTTCTTTAATGGAAGCCATTTAAACTCTATGGAAACAAATGAAGTTGTTGATGCTACATCTGCTAAGCAGCTGCTAATGTAACAACTTGAGTCTTCTGCTGCGCAACTTCAGGTTCTCCTTTGAAGCCATGCACTTCCCAGCTGCAGCTCTGGATGAGATTTGTCACAGGAGCTAGTGAGGGCAAAGATAAAACACAGCAAAGTCTATTCCTGGAGAAATATGAGATTACCAAAACATTTATAAGCCATGAAGCACTTTTTAAAAAATTGATTCATATCTTCTGAGATATCATCTGCAAGAAACTGTATTTATTTAACCAGATGAGGAAGTCTGCTGATAAGCATGAAGGAAATGCCTTGAGAGTTCATTTGCTGTACTTAGCTGGAAGTTCTTATATCCTGCACAAGTAATTATTTGCAGTAACAGCTATCTGAGGATATTATAGCAGGAAATATATTATTTTGTAGCATTAAAATGTGACATCTAAAACAGCTACTTGCGGTGCTCAATATAGCTATTTAATTTACCAAAGCTAATGGATTGTCGTTCTTGTTTGTAATGATATTTGATTTTAAATGGTGGTTGTTTTTTTGTAACAGTATTAACATGGAGTGAAACTGGCCCAGAATTTCCACTGGTCACGAGGCCAGTAAAACAAAGTGGCTTGTGAAAATTTTGGCCAAGTTCAGGTACTATCATGAGGGTAAAGAAAAATCTCTCAACCTTTCCCTTCCCGATTGGGCTTCAAGTCCAGGTGTAGCCACCACAACGAGCTGCTCTGTGGCCTAAAGCAATATGTTACCATTTGGCCGTGCTGAGGAAAAGTCCCCAGGGAATAACAGCCTTCTCCCTTCCTGTTGCACTGAAAGCTGTGCAATTGTTCAGCTCTTTGGTTTTACCATTGCCTTTTGAAACCACAGGGGCCAGCAAGAGCCACTACTGCTTCTGCCATACATATGGCCTCTCTGAATATCCAAACCTTCTGGCCACTACCTTCAGCCACAGTGCCAGTGCAGTCTGGGGAGAGAACTGTACATAATACTTAAGCTCAGCTGGACTGACTTAAATTTTACAATATTCTGACAAAGTAAGCTCTACATTGCTTAACATCTTGAACAGTTTTAAACCGGTACAAAACAACCTTTATAAACCAAGCAGCATTTATAATGCTTCATATATGAAAACAATACGTATTTTTTAAAGTTTATTACATATCTATGTAGATATGCTTGCTGGAAAAGCTAGGTCTGTTGTAGACCAAATGCTACAAATGAAGACTTGTGGCTTACCAGTTTCTTTTCTATATTTTCTTGGAAAATGTTTCTAGTTAGAGTTTAAATATAAAATGTAAATGCTGTACAGATATGTATTGATATAAGCATTACTTGGTGTACACAAGTGATTTGCATGACAAATACTCTGTACCAATCATTGTTAAAAATGTAATGTTCTGTGTAAATCCACTGCAATATTAATGTTGTCATTTATCATTAAGACCTTTTGCTTAAACCTGGACATTCTCAAAAATAAAGTGTGAAACCATATGCTACTGTAGAGCTCCTCATTTAGCAAAACTGAGTCAGATTTTGTGTAGAGATTGAGTCAATTTTATAGCATGGACAGTAACTGCTCCTGTAAGCACCCTTCTTAGCAAACCAGACAACTTACTCAGATGAACTGTAGTGAAGGCAGGTTCCCTGCTCATCTGCAGTAAGAGCAGTCATTCTCTCTGAACAGCTGCAGTTCAATGGGAGGTGACTCCAGAGTCAGACTGGGAACTCCCCCGAGGAGCTCTGCTAAGCTCACCTCACAAGCATTGCCAATGAAGTTCCTGTGTTACACACAAGACCAGTGGCTGTCCAAAAAGAAAGTGCTAAGGAGAGCTGACAAATGCCTGGCTGCTGCAGAGGGAGATCTGAGAGATCAAAGTGGCCATTAATTTTTATTTCTTATTCAATTAAGATTACATTTGTTTGAAGACCTAAAAACCCTGCAATGCCATGAAAGAGAATTACTGATACAAGAAAAGAATAATGAAGTCACTGATTCTGATAACATTGAGTGGTTGGTTTCAATGGTTAAAGCCTGGATTTGATGGAGAGCTTTTTTAGTACACCAAGTCTTGTCCTTGTTGGCTCTCTTTATAGTGAGTTGATAGTTTTGATTGGTAGTTTGCATCTGAAAGGAAAAGGGAAACACTGTCATCCCCTGTTCTGAGATTAAACACATAACTGGTTCAGCAATTTTAGGTCACCATAGAGAAGTCACAAAGCTGCACACAGCTTGATCTGTGATCCGAGCTGACTGAGAAGGCTTCCAAGAGCCTCACAGTAAACATGTCTGTATTTCATTGCTATGCTACCTAACAGTAGAGAATAGGAGGACAACATCCTTGTTTTATGAATGATCTTGTGGTCCAAACAGACCAAGTAATAGCCACAAAAGCAGAAGCTTTTAGAAACTTGCTAGAGAGAACACATAGGAGTGCAGAAAATGAAGTGCTTTAGTGCTCCTCCCACCAATCTGGATTTTGCTCAAATCAGACAATCTTGCTTAAGAGACCCCTCTTCCCCCCCCTTCCCCTCCCCCATTTTCTCTAGAAGACTGACCACCACCACAAGAAGGAACTAATGAAGAAATACCAACTAAACTTCCTCAACAAAAACGCAATTGCTTTGCACAGCCCTCTTTCCCATGCCTGTGGGGTACCACTGTCCAATTTCTCAAGGGACATCTCTTTCACTGACATAGCCCCATAATCTGAATGCCCTGGCTGCTGCAATGGGGTGCAAGACTTCCACTTTCCTGCTGCACTTCTACCTGGTTTTGAAAAACCAAAAGAGTTCGCCATCTGCTGGCCACAAAACTCTGAGTGTTAGAGCAGATGTATGCCGTTCCTGATTTATCAGCTAGAGCAGAGATGCTTAAAAGTACAATCAGGATGCTTTTGTCATGAGTATCGTGAAAAAACTGTATTTAGAGCAGTGATATTTTCAAGTCCTCAGTCCAGTCCTTAATTTTTTCTGAGAAAAGGGATACATACACTATCAAAGTTTACACAAGGACTTGTGAACGATCAGCTTCCTCCCCAAATTGTATTTTTAGATTAAAACTTCTGGTTGTCCATATCTGAAAACAAAAACATGTTCTTTGATAACCGTATTTCATTCAGAAATTATTTCAGTAACAATATCTGTTTCTGGAATGTGTGCAACTGAATAAAATTGCCATAACATCATCAAGAATAGGGAGCAGATGTGATTCTAACAATGTGGACCCAATGTCTGTCCTAACACAGATCACCAGTATCTTTCCTATCCTCACTTCTTCCTAATGACACAACCCCCAGCTATAGATCACATTCTATAGCTAAGTTAGAAACAATGAAAAAGAGGAAGATATGAGAAACACTCAGAAAAGAATCGGGAAAAATTGCTGATGATGCTGGAACCTTTGCTTACTCGTAGTACATTTGATGTTTATCTTCAGGCTTCTTTTTCTTTTTGGCTTTCTTAGATTTTCTACTTTTTTCCCCTCTTCAATCTTTCTCCATTACTGTTCTGGTTCATGCTCTCTTTTTTCTGGATTGTTTTCTTTTCCTGGTTCTTTGTTCCTCATTTTTAGGAGAAGGTCCTCTAGAATGATGTGCATTCTTCTTGCTAGAAAACAGAACACATACATGAAGGATTTAACCAAGGCTACAACCTGCACAGCAGGCAGTCTCCCTACACTGACTATCCCTTTTACTACAATAACACACCACTGTCATCTCCTCTTTCCTAAGTTAACCAGCTGCAGATAACAAATACACAGTGATTTATACAGTGCAGCAGGTTAAGGATAATTACAGAAGCTACTACATGACATCATGAATTTCAGGTAAGACAGAACTGAATTGTGCAATTAATACCATTCTCCTAAGACAGAAAGAAAACGCTTGGATGGAAGAAAAATGTAAGTGACAGGAAAGTAACTGTAGTCTCCACACATATTAATGTTTGCCATTTTTCTGATACACAAAAGGAGGTCTGCATCCTGACCAAGAACTATTGACATATCTGTTCAGGGAAGCTCGTTACCAAGAGCTTGGTGAGGTGCTGGAACCCAGAGAGGCTGTGCCCCATCCCTGGAGGTGTTCAAGGCCACGTTGGATGGGGCCCTGGGCAGCCTGGTCTACTATTAAGTGGGGAGGTTGGTGGTCCTGCATGAGGCAGGGGTTTGGAACTTGATGACCCTTCAGGTCCTTTCCAACAAAGCCATTCTGAATAATTTTTACACCTGCAAAAGCTGCAAATCTTTTCAGTGATATTGATACCATTTTTTTAACACCTTAAAAAATAGATATATTAAAGTCAGTTTATGTTTGCTTAAAGGCCTTCTAAACACTGAGATGCCATGTAAGGAAATTAATGATTAAAAAAAATAATAAAGTTGCTGGTTTTATACTGATTTTATGTTTGAATCCTAGAAAATGTTGGATCAGAGCAAGCCAGAAGTAATTGTAGGAAACGTTGTTCCTGAGTGGTTTTGCTGACATTTGGCATCAGCAGTTTTTAATTAGAACCCTCAATTGTTTTTTTTGTTTGTTTGTAAAGCCTTCTTGCTGTTTAACCTATGAGAACAGAGATAAATACTCCCCTCACTTCCTCTTTCCACCCCATCCCCACATCTAATAATGCACAATTCTGATCTGCCACATAGAACAAAGTTAAGACAAGCCAAACATTTACTGTGCCAGCAGCCACCAACCCAGCAGAATCCTGTAACAAGCAATAAAAATCCACAGAAAAAGGAAACTGCTTTTAATCTCTTAATATTTATGAGACAGAAACACGTCTTGTTTATGAAGAGCATAAGGTACTTCACAGTATTGAGAAACTGATGTTATTCAGAGCAGTCCACATTTTCCTCCAACCATTTCATACTGAGATCTGAAGAACTCACACTACACTGACTAAAACAATCACAAAATCTCATTTTCCCAGGTGAGCAAATGCACTCTCATGCAGAAGAAACCAAAGCTATGTCCAATTACAGCTAAGGAAGAAGTCCCTACAGAGTTATTTAAAAAGCACACTCATCTTTGGAACTGCTTTGAAGTTTTAGGTCTAACTGTCCCCACCAGAGGGCTGAGCATTCAAATGTCCTGACTTCAACACAGAATTTCACTGCTGACAACTTTATCATTAATTAGAATAATAACTCAGATGGGGAAAAAAAAAACAACAGGTGTTGTATCACCAGAAATATAAATGAGGCTCCCTGAGATCTACCAAGTTATGACGTGACTTTGCAGCGCTCTTCAATATGCTACTTTAGATTAAACAAAAATACAAATAAGTCTCAAAATCAGAAAGAGAGTAAGGTTTGTGAACGTAACAAGGGAGACATGGTGGGGAGAAGGGAAAAGGCGAGGGATACAAAACCCTAAGTTTCCTTTTCAGTTCACCTCCAGGTGTAACGCCAGTCCCAGAAGAGATGTGTGCTTGTACCCCGCACACCAACACAGCTAACAGGGCTAACAGTACATGCCTGATGCAAATCAAGTAACCCAAGGGATGTTTCCAGTTTAGCAGCAACTTTTGTTTACTTGTGCAAGCTGAATTTTGTCCCAGTGGAAATTCTTCCTCAACAGAGAGTTTCACTTCTTTTCATTCTGAATATTCTGACTGCAATTCTTCCAGTACTTCCTTATCTCACTCAAGATTACAAAGAAAATAAATTAAGTCTGAATATGAAATGAATAAAATCCTACTCCTGGATTACTTCTTGCTCACTTTCCATCTGATTTATCCTTTCTGCTGCTTGCTCAGAAGCACAGTATGACCTGATTCATACTCTCTTAAAGGCTTATCTTATTTCCTCCTACTTTGTAGAATGAAGTAGTAGAGTATCAAGGAACTTCCTCAGGAGTTATACTTCTCACATATTTTGTTCCAACTTCTTTTCCTCTGAGTACTGCATCTGGACTCAGAGCCACAGATAATTTCAATAAAAGAAAATATTTGCTATCATCTTTACACCTACCTTAGAATTTCAAGATCATTATTGTAAGAATTTTAACTCACCTGGATGGCTGCTTCTAGGAATCTCCCTAAAAAAATGCAAAGAAAGATGAAAAGGACAGTAATGCTTTTAAAAACAAACAACACAAAACAAAACAGTCCCCACTGGATATTCTGCATACAGTACCTTCTTTGAACTACACTATTTATAGACTACAGATTGTTACATAATGGCAAATTAACAATGACTGAGTGATACATGAATAGTCAGTATCTCAGCAAAAACGGCCCTAAGCTTATGGCCATGAATGTTATGACCAAAGCTTACTCTTTGATTCATCTGCATGACATTATCTGAGGAAAAAAAAAAAGACAGAGCTTTCTATGAAGTTTGCTATAGGCTTATGAATAGACCACTGAAGGAAACACACAAATTATTGCTCTACAAATTACTGCCACATTCACTCAAGCTGTGAAAATATATATATAAAATAAAAAATATATATAAAAAATATATATATATATATAAAAATATATATATATATATTTTTTTTTTTTACAAGACTGCAATGGGAATACTTACTGTGAGTAAATGCTCATCTGCATGGTTCTATTCCATCACACTTTGACAGAAAAAAAAAAACGACTTGATTTTATCTTTTTCACTTCTACGCTCCACATTTGCTAAGGCTCAGTGATGAGAAGACAGTTGAGATTTTTTGGATACACAAAATGAAATGTTTCTCCTTTTCATTTGTGAGCAGACCACCACCTCAAGAGAGTGAGTTGGTGACTATAAGCACACTTGTAAATATTTTTTTTCAGCATACCACTGAGTATGCTGAACTGTTACTCACTACTGAAGAAGATAATCAAGTATTTGTAGATGGTTGTATTACCCATAAAACATAAACCTAGAAAACAAGCACTCAGTATACACACATGTACTCCCATGTGTGCTAATGAACACCAGGTGGCATTATCTGCCTCATTTACTGCATTTACCCAGGGTGCAAATAGTAGATGGCTGGGACATTTCAATCTGGGTAGTATCTTAAAGGCAGTAAGTGGTTTTAAAGCTAATGGTTTATATGAACTCATCAACACAAGAATATGAAATGCAGAGCCAAATTTTGTTGAAACCTGAACACTGAGCATTCAGTTGCTGCTCTATCAAACAGATGTGGAGTGGCTGGGCAGCCAGAAAACTGAAGCCAGCCAGTGCTGCTGCTTTACATTACCCCACTGCAATTGCTGGGGATTACAGGCTGTTACCAATAACAAAATGCTACTAAAACTGAGATGCACATACAAACAAACATATTTAAGAGGAGAAATAATTCTCTACACAGCTTACTTTATTGCATCATTTTTGGAACATTTTTTTAGTTGTGGACCAAATGAGGTGTCTGTGGGGAACGCATTGAAAAGCAGAGAGAAGACATGAGTTAAGTCTTTAAATATATAAGCACACTAAAGAGAAGGAAGTATAAGAGACCAAAGTACAAAAAGGAAGAGTTAGGTTGGACACTATGAATGAGATCTAAGGGCTGGGTTAGTCACAGTTCATAACAGCCACCTAAAAGCATGAGAACAAAAGAGAATCTCAGTCAGTGATATCTGGAGTATTTTTCTAAGAATTCCTCCCTGTCAAAGGTGCTTCATCAATAGTCTTAACAGTTCTTATTTAGATCCCCTAAACTTGAGTAATAATTCTCTTCTTTTCCTCCTAAATGTGAATTTGACATGAAGAAAGAACCTTACATCTTTAGTTCAGTCTGGTGTATTTAAGACAGATGTGTAACTAAAGATGCTGGAATATGTTTTACACAGCTTTCTGGTAACAACGTAAATAAATCTGATCCTGTTTTTCCATTAAGAGATTCCCCACAGCTCAGTGTAAGAACAGACTGCATTACATGTTACTGTTTGATTTCCATCCTTTTAAGTACTTACCAAAACTTAGCTGGATTTTATCTCCATTTCAGCATGAGACCTTCTTGAACAGTAAATACCAGCCCTGAGGATGGAAGAATCTTTTCAGCATTCAAAATAAAATGCTATCTGCATAGTAATAGTAGGGAAGGCAGTAAGTGCTAATGAGTTAGGGTTCTGATGATGAAGGTAATGAAGCACACCTAGTATAAAATGACAGCTTTTCACACAGAAACACCTAAGGCCACAGTCATCAGTACAATGACAAGAAATTAAAATCTATCAGAAGATACCAGCTGCCTAAAAATATAAAAAAAATCCTTGTCAGTAACAAAATTGCTTCTTCAAAAGCGTGAATACATTTAAAAGATGACAGATCTTTTCCAGCCAAAGTCAGCTACTTTGTGAAAGCAGCACATCAGATTTGAACCCATGCAGGGATGTTGCTGACCTTTTCTCCAGAACTCTACCAAGCTGTTCAGTGCATTCTGGAGAAACTGACCTCTTACCAGGGAAGTGCCCCAGCCCACACGAGGTCTAAGACAGAAATAAAGCAGCCTTAAAAAAAAAAACAACACAGAAAAGAAAGCATTTATCATTGTCTTGTTTTTAAACTGGTTGACTTTTCCCTCATCAATGTAGATATTGTTGAAAGAGAAAACATCTTTGTATCTGCTTACCAGTTTCATATTCTCCTTGCGTGTCTTTAGAATCCCTTCTCAGAAGTCAGTAACCAAACCATGAAATGTATTCCTGCATCAAAATGAGGTTACATGAAGATAAATGTCTATTAACATTTTTATTGATTAGTTATAAAGTTGTACTGCTGTACAGAGTTAGAATGGAGTTGAAATGGTTCCTATAGTTGTTCACAGAGACCAAACAAGCAGCTGGGCTCACATGGGTATGCTGCTTTTAGGCACATAACATTAATTGGTTTTTCAGAGTTAGTTTGGTACAGCTTGCATGGACTTTATGAACATCCTCGTGCTCTGCTTGTATTAGAGCTGAAGCCAGAGCATGTGATGCTGACTTGGCTGTACCTATTTATCATACATAAGCTGCTGAAGAAATGAACCCTTATTTCATCAAAGCCAGAACATAATTTACTGCATTCCAATGGTAAGAACTGAGTAAAGTTTAGTATCATCACCACATCATCTCATAACTGCGATCTGGAATGCACTTACATTTGCACTTAGCAATTGCACAGCTGTCTGAAGGTAACTGATGAGGGCCACAGGTGATAAAGCACTGAGCCTTAAAACACAAAATCCTTCACTATTTCTCAAGTTAGGCCTCTCAAGGTTGGCTTTCACCTGCACAGTGAGGCAGTGGGTGATGTGCTTCAGTAGTGGTGACAGAGGTGTGAAAAATAAGCCCTATTCTGGACAGCTGTGCACAGCTGTCACACTACAAAATGTGGAGCACCTCTACCAGCTCATCCAAGTGAACTGACTGATGATAGTGACCATATTGAAAAACACTGACCATAATGTAGCTGGGAATTTACTCTTTCAGAAAGTGTTATTATGCTCTGTTGTAGTTTCCATGGAAATAAATAGGAGGCATTACTTTCAGAGCAACCTACTTAGTACCTACAACACACCTTTAACATCTCCAGCTCTACAAGTTCACTGATATTTCTGCACAGAGCACAAATTCTTATGCCCCAAAACTTGGTAGCAAAGTTGATGTTTTGAGCATTTATCCCAAGCTGAGAAAATTGAAAAAGCACATGGCCTCACATTTTGGCCAAGTGAGTTCCCCAGCATTCAGGCAAGCTCAGATCTGTTTCAGCTATGGCTGCTAATGCAGTGTGCACTTCCAGTAATCTCCTCCTCAAGGTCCCGACAACCAAGCGCTCTAGAACAACATTCCAGCTCTGAGCTCCAGCTCTGCAAGCAGGGCTAGAGGAGACCTGTAACTCCTCTATGTACGCTGCCACACAACAGCAGCACAGCCCTGCACAAACCCCCAATTTACTGCTCAACCTGAGACACGAGTCGAGATGAGAAAGAGAAAATTCACAGTACTCAACAAGGCCCTGCAGCACCAAACAGCTCCCTCACAAAGAGGCCCTGCAGTAACCAGCACAGCTTTCCCTCCACCTGCCAGCAAACTCAGCTGGAGTCACAGCAATCACTACAAGTCCCTTCTTCAGAAGTTCAACATTCAGCTTCTTTTGCTTTGAGTTCCTAGGAAAAGGTGAACTGTTACAAAAACATCCTGACTTGGCTTCAAAACCTGAAGTTACTGTGTCTACTAATGTCAGTGCAAATCTTCCTGAAGCACTTTTTCAGTTAAGAGGTGGATCTCTCTCTGATCAACTGCCAAGCAACATTTATAACTTCATAATGATGAAATATGGAAAGCTTCCCAGGGAGCTGGAACTAGCATCTGTGTGTGTTTTTAGTGAGATCAAGTGTTATGATACAGGGTTTTTGCTCCTGCTTCCAGGATTTTACTGCCTAGTTAGAAAGCATAAGACGAGCTTGCTTACAATAAGTTCCAGGCTTCTGATGTGAGAAGCATTTAAATGGAAAAGCATCTATCGCTGGATAAAAGAAAAAGGTTGCCAAGCAGCACGTGACCACACGGACCATTATTTTTAATGACCACAGTATTCCACAGGAGACTCCTCCTCAGCATTAAACCAAAATATAAAATTTCATCAAAATCCTTTATACATGTTTTGGTGTCTCATCAACAAACCATCAGAACACAGAACTTCCATTACACAACCGCATCCAACAGGGCCTGGTCTGGAATACTAAACTCAAGGATGGAATCGCATCCCTCTAAAATCCAGCCCTTAGTCTGTAAAGATGTCTCTTAAAGACCTATTTAAAAGACATCACTTAATTTCAGAAGGAAAGAAGCAAACTCTGAGCTTCTGACTTCTCCCTCCCGTACACTCCACAGGTGACAGGTTTGAAGCCGTTAGCACTGAGAACGGCTCAATGCTCCGCATAAAAACAAACAGAAACCAATTACACTTCAAGTCTTCTAGGCAGAAGAGTTCAGGGGATGACTCTGTGCAGCTCCTCCACCTCCAGGCTCCACATCTCCTCATGCACCGGGTTTTCGGAAAGATCCGTCATCTTTATTGCTCGGAGCACGGGCTCGGGGCTGCAGGACCGCACCACTCCCATCACCATCACGTACTTCCCTACAAGAACACGGAAGAAATTCAACTAACCCCCACGTCTTCACTTTACGAGCGGGAGGAGAGCCAAGGCGCCCGCGGAAGCGGTACCTGCGCTGAGGCACGGCCGGCCCCGGGGCACGTCCTCCACCCCCAGCACGGTGAAGGGGCCGCTGCCGTCCCGCAGCCGTGCCGAGCCGCCGCCGCCGCCGCCGCGCTCCACCCGCAGCACGGTGCCCTGCATCCACACGGCCCGCAGGCACAGCGGCGCCCGGCCCGCCTCCGCCCGGCCGAGCCGCCACGTCCCGCCGGCGCCGCGCACCGCGCCCCGCAGCTGTGCGGCCAGCACCTTCAGCGGCGGGCGCGCCGCCTCCCCCCCCATGGCGCCGCCCGGAGCGATAAGGGACAGAAGGCGGACTGCAGCGCGCGGCCGCTGAGGGACAGAAAGGGCGGGAAAAAGCGCTGCACCGCCGGAAGGCAGCACTGCGCCTGCGTGCGCGGCTCTGGTGCAAATGGCGGCGCGGGAGTGCTGTGTCACGTGACGTGCCGGCCCGCCCAGCGCAGAGCTGCTGCGCGCTGCTGCGGCTGCGTTTGGGTTCCGTCCGGGTTCCGTCCGCATCCTCGGCAGCCCTAAGTGCCGGGTAATTAAACAGCAGCAAATAAATCGCTCGTGTAAATGCTGGTTGAGGGGCATGGATGGAGAAAGGCTGTTTTCTGCCGTCTGTAACCTCGCTGAAGCCCTTTTAAAAGGTGTTTTCGCATGCTGATTTTCTCCGGGCTGCCTTTAGGATGCCCGCGGCTCTGCGGTGCGATGCACGGGCAGCCCAACGCCCCGAGCCTTCAGTTCCATCCCTCTGCTGATACGACAGGCAGGCGGGGCTGCCTGGCTTCGGTGTGAAATCCTGAGATGCTGCGGTTTCCTTTGGGTGGGCGGGTTGAGGTCTCATTTAGAAAGCACGCCGAGAACGACGCTAAAGGGGGGAAATAAACCAAAGAAAAGCAAAAGAATGGGGCAGATGCGGGGGACCATTGGAGAGTTCTGTGCTACCGACAAAACATGCGGTGTGGGTACAAATGCAGAGAGAACTGACTCCCCTACAGCTGTTCTCTCCATTAAAACAGCCTCTGTCTAAAACATCCAGTTTGAAGTACCAGAATACAGCAAATGACCTTTTTTTCCCCTACTCCCCCCCTGTTCCATGAATTATTTATTCCAAATGTCTTTTCTCTGGGGACGTTTTCTGTTTGGAGACGTTCTGTAAGTGGGTCTTTATTCCTTTTATAGTGTAAGGAAGCAGTTATCGTTTTGTTACCATTTACAGTAAGAACAAAAGATAATCTTAGTAATAACAATAAAAACACTGCCGTCCGAGTACGGCCATTTCAATACAGAATCATGTAATCTGGCAATCAAATCATATGGCTTACAGGAACAGAAAGACATTAGATGGTTACTGTATATGAATGCAGAATTTGAGCTGGGCTCGCTGGAGAAGAACGTTTGTAATTTATGCCCCTAAGCTACAGTCACTTGACAGCATCAATATTTTAGTTTCACATAAAAAAAAATAATTGTGCCAAATATTGATGAAAGTATTGTATTCCTATTTGCTACCATATAATAGGAGGGTCTAATGCTTATTAAGCCATTAATTTTACGGATGAAGACAAGACCCCTACAAGAGTGTAATAAGTAGGAGAGACTATGAGGTCCCTTTTAAAAGATTTTCCTTAGAGAAACTGTTCTAAGAAGGGCAGAAGTACTGCCAAGATACACCAAGAGTAATGATTTGTTTTCCAAAACCAGAAAATCCGTTCCTTTCAGTAAAAAGCAAAGTTACACAGCACTGTGTACAGAGTTCCTATGAAGAGCTGGCTCAGCACAGAGACGTGTTCTGAGCTGCAGGAGGAATGCCTGTTGTCTAAGCAAGCAGTGTTTTCTGGAGGTGATCCCACACCAATCACACTCAGTGGCAGTGGAGGAAGCTCATCACGCTGCTGGAAAAGGTTCTGAGTTGGTGGCCGGCAGGCTGTAAGTTACACTGGATTAAATTTGATTGCATATTGTGAGGGCGTGCAGGACGAGACAGAGTTTTGGTTTGTGTGGGTTAGAAAGAACTCGGTCTTCTGGCTGCTGCTACAACATGTGCTTTCCAAAGAAGTAGTCTTCAAGGACGTTACTCCTCACGCTGAAATGCACATGAGAGGTGCTGGCACAGCATGAGTAAGAAAAAGTCAGACTACGTGTAGATAAGATGGTCCACAGTACAGCCAGTGCCAGGTCTCTGATATTTTAGAGTCTCCCATCCTACCTGAAAGTTTTAAAGAGCTCTGTTCTAGTCCACTGATTAATGTCTACAGAGAAGTTTCTTTCATTTTCTCAGTGTCTCTTTCCTACTACTGAGAAGTCCCTAACAAGACTTCTAGCACAGACAAGGAGAAGTCAAGCTTCACCTTTAAGAGATCTGCCCAAGCTGATGCTTATTTTCTTATACTGCACACAAAGCTTTATGAGACAATCCCAGGATTATAACTGTGGCTTTCTGGTGTTTGTTTTATACCACATAAAAGTGCAGAGTGGATATGCTGACACACTGCTCTGTGAAGCCTGGAGAAACACCCTCATTGTTCAGGGCTTTTTTAGGCTATCTCATCATCACTGAACTTAAATTAATGACTTTAATGGATGAATGAGTTGGAATTAACCTGTTGATAATCAGAGATATTTCCCTCCCTAACTTGAACTCCTGCTGCATGTAATTTATGCTTTGGATATGACCGGTCTGTCATACAGATGCTAAATCACCACTGATTTCAAATGACCTGGAGACAGCAAGTCATTTGCTGACACAGGAAGACTCCAGCTGCCAAATTGTAGTTAGCAGGTAGCCCTGAGTAAGCGGCACTTCAGGGTGACTTGGACAAAGCAATGAGAGCCTTCATTCATGAGCTGTCATCAAAACACTGCTAATAGCAACAACAACAGTCTGGGCTCTCCCATAGCGATGTCCTGCCCAAACTGTATGGAAGTCACTCCAAAGTAAAAATGAAATAACTTTAGTGGCAATTGCTATCAAGTAAAGCCTTAGTAATGTGCCCTCCTGTGCTCTTTTTGGAGAATCTAATACATGTGCTACACGTGTGTGCTTATTCTTAGTGCAGTCAGTGGAGGATTTCAACTTGTGTATGGCAGAGAGGGTAGAAACCTTAGCTCATACAGCCAGCCTTAACATGAGAAATACTTTAATTGCTCTTGCCACTGTGCAGACTTAACCAGTTCCTGTCACCATGCATTGCCTAATGGCAGTGAAAACAGTGCAAAGTTCTCCAGTTTAGCTGACTCATTTCAGTTACAAAGAATTCTTAGAGGAAATGTTTAGAGAGCTCCTGTCATGTTCTGCAGAAGTGGGCGTCACTTCTTTGTGCCTTTCCACACTATAAATGCTCTAGTGAGTAACTGAAACACATCCATGTTCTGTGGAAAAGGATCCTGACATGGTTAAAGAACAAAGAAGGAATTCATCTTAATCAATATTATTTACAAGTACTACTCGCCACTTTAGAAATAATCTGTAAAGCTGGCTTCCAGATGGGCTTATTTAAACTATTGCATTAACATAAAAATAACTTTTTAAACAGGAAATATGCCTGGCATCCAATGTGTTATGTTTTAGTACGGACTGAAGGGAAGCCAGTTCTAGGGAGACCTCAGTGGTTCAGACTTTTTGATTTCATTGCACTTCATAAAAATATTGGATCTTTAGGAGAAGCTTAACAAGACTGGAGAGCCCATCAGCACCGTAGGTGAATACAGATCACAATGTCCTACCTTGACAGCTGCAGTCCTTCTGTAAATATTCTGCCATTACCACCAGCATCCAGCTTATCCATTCAGAGTGAGAACAGAATCACCTTCCCAAAGAAAAGCAACCAGAAGAGCAGCATTTTATTTCCAGAATCTTCAAATCATATATGGCAAATACTAGAAAATACATACAGGCCAGAGAGGCTGTGAAGTTACAGTCCAGTATGGAGCATACATTAGTGTGACTCTACAATATCCCAGCTCACACAGCCAAGCAGAGAAGTCAGCTGTGTATTACATCCTTTCTAGTCACTGAAAATTTGTAGAAAAGGTGAATATCCCTCACTATTCTATGTGTGTTAGCCAATATTTTGTAGTTGTATCCCCATCTTGGAGTATAAATGAAACTATATTTTTTTTAATCTTGGAGTTATTATCTAAGTAACTAAACACGGTGACTTTCCTTAAATAAGCAAATTTTGCTCTGAGATCAGAGCATCTCCATGCAGCATGTCTGCACTGGTTTTCTACAAAGCTAAAAGAAGCTTGTCATCTAGCAGCCTTCTAAACTAAATAACAAAACTGGGACTTGAAACTCAAAGACCATGAGAAATCAGAAGATGATTGTTCAGGAATTCAAATATATTGAAGCCAGTAAATTAGCAAGCTTTCAGCTTGTCACGAAAAGCAGCAATAGATGATAAAGGCAAAATCAGGATGCATTATTTTCAAAACCTGAGGAGCCCACAAAACCACACTTGCAGTAGTGAATTATGTTGCAAAATCTGACAGTGCTTGTTTACTCCAAATAGAAACTGTCAATACTTTAAGAGCTAAATAAGAAACATCAGCTCATGTAAATGGTATCTGGAAATGTCACATAGCATGAAGTGCAGAGCAGGCATGAAGATGTGAGCATATTTTTACTTGCACTTTTGGAGTTTTGACAGTTCAAACATCAAGTATTTATATCCAAATAATTACAAATATTGTTGAGGAACATTTGAAGAACTGTAGCTCTGCTACAGCTTGAGCTGGTACGAAGCTCAGGCAGTAGACATTTCAGAAAAGCACGGCAGACAGCCCTGGATTTGCAAGGCAAAGTTCATCAGATCGTGCAGGCTTCCTTACCAGTTACAGGGTCATTTACGAGAAATGCGCAGGGTGAAAGTGAAAGGTGCAGACTGGTTTCTTTTCACGTCCATATATCTCTGTATTTTGGCTATACTTGTATCTTGATTCTTTTAAAACACAATACAGCAATTACTAGCAAACAGACCTCCCGTGCAGATTAGATATTTTCACTTTCATTGTTTACATAAATGTTCAAGCAGAGAGAGAATTGTGCTCTCCTGTTTTAACCTATGCTTTGACAGAGACCCTGCTTTATTTGCATTCTGGTGCCTCTGACCCTCCTTTTGCTGGGAATTCAGGGGTTTTGGTCCACTTCAGACCATGGGGACCCCAGCAGTCACCAGTGGGACTGAGGAGGCTGTCAGTAGGGCTTTCACACGCTGTTAACTGATGCAGTCCCTTTTACACGCACTTCTGTCATGTCAAATAATTGGGTGAACATCTCTTTTGGGTGGCAAAAATATTCTCCAGGCCCTCTTTTTTTTTTTTCCCTCCATTGTTAACTATGGGGAAAACCATTTGTTAACTAGAGTTAACCATGCTGATTAAAGGAATTTATAGTTCAGGGCAGACTTTTTAAAATGCGAGTGGGCTGGCCCCAATCACTTCCCAGTTCCACTGTTCCACCTTTCCTGGTAAAATTAAGTATTTGTGTATGGGTTAGATTCAACATATATAATGATATATAATATCATATATATATATATGTATATGTATATATATAATATATATTATATATAATAAAAAACATTGGCTGGCTCAGCCTTCCTTGGTTTTAAGTAACTTGCAGAATCAAGGCTGCAAATAAAAGTCCTTATTAAGAAAGCCTGAAGGTCATACTCATAGGAGTGAGCATTTAAATTGTGGCACATTTTACTCACAGGTGGCAGTGTTCACTGAATGCCCTTTTTGCTTGAAGCTGCTTTCTCTTCTGTTTCTTATAAATGTAATTGTACCATCCTGCATTATTGCTGGACACATCAGCTGGGGAAAACAAATTCCAACCAAAGGAAATGGAACTGAAAGTAATTAGAGCATCTTTTGAATTCACCCTGCAAAATTAATGTCTAAGACAGATAATTTCTTTCTAAAGGCTGCATTTCCCACCCTAAAACGATAGCTACACCAGTGCTATCTTTATAATCTTTATCACACAGCTGTGGAGTGTTACTCACTAATAATTGTAAAGACTTGCAAAGTCAGGAGAGAGGTAGAGCTGTGTTGTTCTTACAGTGAAGGGAAAGCTTAAGTTTCTGTTCTTGAA